TTGAACAATTACGTAGTGAATGTTGACAAGATCCTGTCTCTGTTTCCTAGAAACATTGTTTCTTGAAGATAATTTGAGCCAACATCTGGTGTTTTTGACAGTAGTGCATCTTAATAGTAGTCAAAATTTTTCTCTTGCCTCAAGAAAGGAATGTTTCCCAGACAAGCAATGGCTTATGGATCAGGAATGAAAGCGTCTTTAATACTTGGAATTAAAAAAAAACCTTCAGTGTGAATACAGAAAAATACAAAACTTACTTTACCTTTTTTTTTTTTAATTTATATTCAGCATTCATCATGTTCTTCTCACTGTCATCTCTTTTTACCTTTTCTACTCATACCAGATACCTTTTGGGGCTGAGAACAAAGCTAGGAAGGGAATAATACCGGAATTTTAGATATGAATCTAGGTTTATTCTTGTACATGCAGAATCTAGAAATAAGGTTTTTCAATGCAGTTTATTTTGAAAGACACAATATCTCTTTTTATTATATGATTTATGTTTGTCATTCTCTTCCTTTTCTGAGTTTAGAGATGTTTCATCACACAGAACTTGAAATCAATCATAGTGTTTTCCCTTCAGTATTTTTCTGTTAATAGACTTGACAGTAATAGCATAAATATTGAACTATTTCTAGCCCATAGGTGTTTAACTGTTTCTTAACCCATTCGTCCTCAGTACCAATGGTTGAGAGCCAAGGGCTGGGGAAAGCTGTGTGTGCTCTAAAATGTCATCAGAAAAAGGGATCTGATTTTTCCTAAACAACACTTTCTTCAGCTGTGCTGGGCTTAAAGAAGATTCAGCTGTTCTTTATTTTTGTTGTTGTATCAAAGCACTGATACACTCCAACTCTGTTTTTCTTGTTATATAAATATATAATCTATAAAGAGAATTTATTAAACTAAATCAATTTACAAACCCATGTGTTGCTTTATTTAACAGGGGTTTTTTTGCTATCTGAAAAGTTCTTGCGTCTCTTGAGACATCTATCTGAAAAGCGTAACTTCTTGCCTAACAAACAAAGCAAAACCAAAGCAGTTCTGGATTTTTAATTTTTTTTTTTCCCCTGACTAAGAACATTCTGCCCTGTATGTTGTTGCAGCAACATACCACTTCAGTGAATATCAATATTTTTTGTTACATTTTTTGAGGTTCTTCCCAATCTTCATGCTAGTGACAGCAGATTTAGTGTGTGTTAGCTTAGGGTTGGTTTTAATTGAAAAGGAAACATGCAGCCTCTGGAGGGGAAAAAAAAAAAAAAAAGAAAGATTTGCAATTTGTTAGGGGACAGTTTTAAGCTTTCCATACCATTTGGAAAGATACACACCAGACTTCTACTAGTAAAACTAACTTTATTTCTGTGTGTGATAATTACACACATCTAAGCTGGTTTAGATATGGCATCAAAACTAGTTTGTTTCAGTATCACTTCTAAAAGCATTTGCTGAAGTCTTAAGGCATATTACTTAAACATGATGATTGTAATTTTTGCAGGTTTCTGTAGCTGCATCAAGTGCTGGAAGAGGATCTCCAGCTGTAACTGTAGTGCAGTTGCCTTCTGGTCAAACTGTTCATGTCCAGGGTGTCATTCAAGCCACACAGCCCTCAGTCATTCAGTCACCACACATGCAAGCTGTTCAGGTTAGCTCTTTTATTGTTACATTTTCATGAATGTTTCGTGCCTCATAACTCTTCCCCCCAACCCCATCTTCAGTTTCTCTTCATTCCTACCAGTGCTGCAAGATTTACTCGTATGTTGCGGGAAATGGCAGGGGGGGAAGGTGGCAAACTGCCAACCAGTAGCAGCTCTACAAGCATTGTGTAGTGATTCCTTAATGCTTCCTGTTTATCTCTTAAGAAATTGTCTTGGAACCCTGAACTTATGCAACAGCAAATTTGTGTAATAACGTAGCCTTTCTTTAGTGTATCTTGCAGTTTTTCTGTTTTCTTAAATTCTATGAACATCATGTTTCTAAGGAGACTATGAACTCATAAATCTGCAAGTATCTCATACTGTATTTTTGGAGAGCATCTGGATGTAATGGCAGTAAACATATTATAGTCAAATGATTCCTTGTTGTTTTTAGCCGGCCCTGTTAGAGCATCTGGCATTGCTTTTGTGGGTGTGGATATGTAAAGACCAAAAATAAGGGCAGCCTCAAAATAAACATTTATTTGGCAAATCTTCACATGTTTAAAGTTGCTGATGTTAGAAAACAGGGACCAGTGCAAAATGCTTAAGAGTTTTCAGAGCTTTTAAATAGTGAAAAAGACTAGAGAGAATGAACTTGCAGTGTTTTGAAAATGACTTGGCCTCCCATTGGTGTTTTTCTTATAGCTAGGAATGCCTTTGCTCTATTTTTCTTAAAATCTGATTGTGAAATGTCAACTGTATTGCTTTTTGCAAATAGAATTGATATCTCTGGTAAGAGAGGCTATACACCTGTTATGTGTGAACTGTTTTACCTGCAGTCATTGCAACATGTTGAGAAAAAGACATGCGTTGTCAGTCTTCTTGAGTATAATAAATAAAAAGGCATATGTGAGTATAATTTATCTTGGAGATTAGAAAGAAAGAATAAAACCTTGGCCAGATACTGAATATTTTATTTGTAAGCAGTAGGTGTAGATGGTGGGACCTGGTAAGGTTTTGAAATTCTAGATTACTATTGAAATAGACGCAGTAGATGGCAAGAGACTTGGGTTTGGTCAAACTTGAAGTCAAATCAGAGTATTCAAAATAAATACTTTTTAAATGGAATTCCTTCTAACTGTAATTTACCAGAGTGACCTTCATCAGATAAGCATATTTCAGTCATTCCCAGTTTCTGTCACTGCTTTTCTTCAAGTCAGTGTAGTCAGGACATCCATATAAAAATAGAGGACTTGCTCCAAAGCTCAGAAGGAGGAATTTCTTTGGACACTCTTGCCAGCTGCTGCTGTGTTTTCTTAGGGGAGTGGAAGTCGACTGTTTGTTTTATTGCATGAACTCTGTCTGTCTTCCCTTTCCCAAAGGAGTAGAGACAGGAAGGCTGTGTCCTGATTAATACTAGAGTTCCAGGGTTTTGCTTTGGCTTCATTTGAGCATACTAATGGCAAATAAGGTAACTCTACCAGAAGGGCTTGAAGATGTTGTAAAAGACACAATTACAGAGGTTGTTCAGCCCTTCTGTGATCTTCTTAAGTACTTTATCCTGCCACCTGGCATTTCCTCCAGATCATTTGCCTTTAACTTGATATCCTATCTCTGCCAGACAGTGGGGAAGTTGGGAAATAGTATCAGTTTAATTAAAAAAAAAAAAAAAAAAAAGTGTTGAAGGTTAATGTTAAAGCTTGCATGACCTCTCCCTCAAACACCTGCAGCTTTAAAACTGGAAGGTGTACAAAATTTTTTCTTGTAATGCTGTTGCTTTTGGGATGAAAAAAATGCTTATCTATATGATGTTCCTTACTGTTTTGTTAACGTTGTTTTACTTGTAGGAAGGTTTGAAGTTCAGATTGTTATTTGACTTTTCTACTTGCTCCCCCCTGTATTCATCAGGTATTGGCAGACTAACATGAGATCGAAGTTAAATTTGTTGAAACGCAGAGTAATGTGGTAAATTTGAAGTCTGAGTGATGTCCAGGAAAAAATGACAATGGTTTCCATCGGTTAGCATTGTGAACGTGGTTGCTTGCTATTATAACAAACTGAAACATTAAATTTATCTCTTTGTTGTGATGAAAATTAGAACTTTTGAAATTTCTTGCAGAAAATGTCCTCTTCCACACTGAAATGCTAAAATTGTCTCGTGATTTCCTTACCTTCTTCCAAAGTATGACTGTTCTTGACTTCTTCGGCCATCTTCACAAACTAGGGGTGGCTATTGGTAACCCTTAGTGGAATGGGAAGGTTTAAAGGCACTAAGGTCTTGTTTTCCTGCTGTTTGTCCTGGGACAAATAGATTTTATATATTTATTTATTTATTTCTCCTGCAGAATTAGAGTTCTGTTTTGAGATAGGATGCCCAGGCTCTCGGCTGTGTAATACTGTCTTAGTTTTTAAGGTTTATGCAGAGGCTTGAAGGTCGATCCATAAGCAGATCGCTGTAGGGCACTGGAGAGAAATGCCTTTCAGAAGATCTCTTTGCTGTTCAGCATTGGTCCATCCTGCAAAAGGATGAATACAAACTTCTTGAAGCTCTTGTATCTCTGCCAGTCAGCTCTGAAGCCTGATTTGGAGCTATACATCTGTAGACGTGCAGAAGTACCTCTAATTATTTCTAGGTGGTCTCTTCTTTCGGTAGGCAGGTGTAGAGTTTTAATGATGTTTCCTATGTATTACCCAGCAAATGAGGCTACATTAAATGTTTTTACACAGAACTGGAATGTAATAAAATTAACAAGTGAAGAGACAATTTCATTCTGCAATAAGCTGTAGTTCTTTCAAGGTGCAGTTTTATAGGTTTGAGTTGGGGTACCCAGGCCTATAAATTTCCAGAACCTTCCAGCCAGTCATTTCCTGTTGAGGTCAAGCAGGTTTTGTTTCTAGCACCGAGCGCTCAGGCCTGGCAGCCGCATTAGTTCTAGAGCTCTTCCTTGTCTTCCTTGAGCTGCAGGGAAGCCTCCACTGCACCCAGGTCGAACACTTGAGCCTCCTAGTCACTTAACTCATGTTTGTTCAGTGTTAGCTTAACACAGCGCTTAGTCTGAAACTGCAGTCTGGTCTGTCTTTATGTGAAAAGGTCATTTTCCACATGAACTTTACTGCACTTTCAGTTCGGAAATCTTACACACCAATAGCTCTGAATAGTTAAATGAATCAAGAAAATAGTGTGTTTTCCTTGTTCAATAATCACTTCAGTTCTGTGTAGTAAGATAGTTGCTGGTAAAGAGTGTGATTCAGCTCCAGGCCTTAATGTCATCTTGGGTAATTTTAAGAGAAGAAGAACCTGTGAAAATACTACTAACAAAGGTCTGAGAAAGTGAGACATTGTGGATTTGTCAGGGGTTTCTAAAACTCTCACGGTATTGCTAAGCAATGTATTTGTATTTACGAATATGTGTTGGTAAGTGTAATAAATGTGTATATTTAAATAAACTTGTTTTCTAAATAGCTTGGGTGTCGTTGTGAAGAGGCTTTTGTATTGTATACTGTTATTTAAGGTGCATTAGTACAGTATTTTGTATTTTAAATTTTTAATTTCACTTTAAAAGCTAATTAAATTGTATAATAATTTTATATTTAAAGAAATCTTCTGTCTTCAGTACTTTTTCTAGGTGTCATTCACAAAAAAGTAACCTGGATTATTTTGATTTTTTTTCTTTTTCAAATGGAAGATATCATCTAAGTGCTAACCTAATAATTTGTGATTTGCTTTGGAAAAAGAAGTCCAAGATCACATGATTAGTGATAAATAAGTGCACAAACTTCCTGTATGCAAACATGGAAGGAATTTTCAAAAATAATCTTTTACTCTGTGGCTATCTTCTTTTTTTATGAAGTTATGAATTTCAGAAACTTTGCTATTACAGGTAGCATCGATTGCAGATGAATCTGCAGAATCAGAAGGGATTATTGATTCTCAAAAACGTAGGGAAATACTTTCACGAAGGCCTTCATACCGGTAAGGACTATTTATTTTGGTTTTGCTGGTTTTTAAAGGCAGCTTACATATTACAGTAAAACTGTCTGATAAAAGCCAGTGACTTAGTTTTTTCATGGATATGGAATTTCAAATATATAAAATTATTTACATTCTTTTTTAGAAAAATTTTGAATGAGCTCTCATCAGATGCTCCTGCAGTACCGAAGATTGAGGAAGAAGAAAAGTCGGAAGATGAAGGAGCGCCTTCTGGAATTTCTGCAATGGCCATGCCAACCAGCCTGTATCATACTAACACAGGGCAATACAGTATGTTTGCAAAGATACTGTGTGATGTTGCAGAACATATATAGGAACAACTTTGTTTCTAAGAGTTCCATAATGAAATAGAGATGTTGGATTTTGGTGAAGAAGAATGAGAGCTTCTGTATTTCTAAATAATTTCAATTTTTATATTTAATTTTTCCTAACATGGGCATTATAGACTTTTAGTCTGTTTCTTGTAATACTTGTTGGCTGCTAGATTTAGTCCTTCTAGAACTCTTATGCGTTCAAAATGTGGAGGTGAGGCTCAGGTGAAATGAAAAATGTTGACGCTTTTATGTGAATGTTCAGTTATAAATCATTGCAGTTTCAAATTACTGTGATTTGCTATCTATTAGTGCTATTCGTTACATGAAATGACAATTACTGAGTTAGACTTTTTTAAAGTATAAGATTGGAGCATGAAATTTTTTCTTAACTTTGAATTTTCTTTCTTAAAAGAACTATGTCTCTTCCTCTCCAGTTGTCAAGTATGAACACTTTAGCTGCAGAATTAACCTAAATTATGGTCTCCAACATTTGATACTTCACCCAAACACAAGTTAAAAGTTAGATTCACAGTTCTGTTCTATAGATTTTTTTTAAATTTTTTTTTATTCCTGCATTTATGTTAAAAATGCTGCATAACTCGCTCCCTATAGCTTCTTTGGGCTTAATCATATATCATCTAAGGGATAACTTTCTAGTAACTCTTTTTTCAATTATGTATTCGATAAAGCTTCACTCTTACAGTTATTTTTTTTCATGTTTTTTCCTGTGTAGCCGAACTGAAATGCAGCCATTTTTCCTTTGATATAATGACAGGAAAAATGCAAAAGAAATGTTGTGGGGGTTTTTTTTTCCCAAATCAAGAAAACAGAAGTAGTCTATTAAAACATTGCAATGGCATATAAAAGAGGATAGAATGGCTTCCTAGTTGCATTCTAGTCACCCTTGGAATTCTTCATTTATTTTTAATTTATGCAACTGAAGTAATTATGAACTCTGAGAAAACAGAATTTCCTATGATATTATCTATGCCTTCAGCATAGAAAGTAATTTTGCTTGGCTCCTAAGCTGCTTTTCCTACCCTTTCTGTTAAGGTATAGACATGAATAAATGTCTGCTTCATGATGTCCAGCATCTGAAGTGCTCTTTTGTGTGGACTTGTGGTCATGCTAAATGACAGTTATCCAGTACAGAATCTGGCTGATACCCTTGACCAAATCAAATTTTTTTCTTCAATTTTTGAATTATGTTTTTGGTTTGGCTTAGGTTTAGTTTAAAAAAATACGTATTTGCAGTTTCAAGGCTTAAAAATAAGTGCTGTAGTGTCTGTACTATGTTCTAGTGAGCCTCCAAACATTTAGGATTTCTAAGAAATTAGGAGTTTAGGTTTCTCAATCGTATATTCCTCTAGGAAAACAGAGTTGTACTTTTACTAGCAATACCTTGCAGGATGTGATTCTTCTTAATTGAGGATGTTTTAATTTGAACATAGCTATAAATCATAATGACAGGGAAGTGTATAAAAGAATAATGAAATTCAGTTTTCGCTTTCTTGTTCAATCAGACATTTACTTCTGAAAAATCAAACAACAGAGAGCATCACCAACAATGTGCTTGAATTAACAGCCCACAAAAATTTAATTAAATCTTAATTTAAATTTGTCTTCTGCATGAGCCAAGCATAGAAGATTTCTGTTTTATGCTGCTGCTTCTTTGAATAAGTTACATTCGTAGCCTAGAACATGTGCTGGATATTTAAAGTAATTTAACTTGTTAAATAGGTTCTCAGCCATAATGAGGCATTGCTTCAGGATGCAATGTCAACCTTCATAGGCTCTCCTGATTCTGTCTCAAAAACTTTGTTTTGAGAACTTTGTCTTGCTGGAAATGGTTTTTCTTACCCAATTTATTAGTTCATTAATTTGATTTTTTTTTTTTTTTAAGTTAAACTTTGTAAGTTAAAATATTACACATCTTTTGCTGCAAGTCTGTGCGTTCTCTCTAATTCTGGCTAGGAAAAATTACATCAAAATTTTTCTTAAGATGCTGGTCATTACCCTTAAATGCCAGAAAACTTAGATTTCAAGTTGCATCCAAGTGGTAGTAAGAATGGTCATCTCCTTGTAGTAGAGGGGATCTTAATTTGGAATTTACCAAAGAGAGCTTGACTGTTTACTTCCAGTCCTTTCACATGTAAGGCACAGATCTGCAGCATTTCTGAGCAGGCATCCTGTTGGCTGCCTGTGATCCTCAGGAACTGCTGTCAGCTGAAACTGGGAACACTGTGTGGGAATGCATCATCTCCTGTGTTGATTTCAGTCTCGATATGATGCAGAAGATCACTCGCTACATATTTCTATTTTACCTTTATGTCTCCTGTTGATAGCTCTTTACTTCTGCTTATCGTTATTGTATCCAGGTACTCTTCTCTTCTTGGCCGGCATTGGTTGCCTGGGTTCTCTTGTTCAGGCGTCCAGTAGTTTACGCATAAAGCTTGTACAGTGTCCATGGCAATGAAGAACTGGTGTTGCACTGTCACTACAGCCATCTATACTGTGCCCTGGTTTAACACAGATGCCATGTTACTACGTTTGCTGATTCCTTATTTTCTCTATTGTTCTCTCTATTCCTGCATAGGAAAGGCAGTTTAGTTGAAAAGATAATTTTGACTGTATGTTGGTGTCTGGATATCTGGGGTGACTATTTTTGGAAGAACTTGATAAGTAAATTTTTCTGAAAAACAAATATATTTTTTCTATTAGCAGCGGCGATGGCTGTTCCTTGCTTTCTTTTTACGAGCCAAAACGGTATGTTGCCATGGTTTCCAAATATCTTTTTCCTCAGAGCTTCTTGGCTTTGGCTTATGGAAGCAGACAGATTGACAGGCATGACCAGCTAGATAAAATGTCTTTCCCAGTTACCTACATCAACATGTGAGTTATCTTTCTGTAAGGGGAGTGGATAGTTTTGTGTAAGGCGGTGTCTTGTGTATGAGCCCTGTAGCCTGATCTGACTACAGACCGTCTCTGTTGGCTGTAGTTCTGTCATGTTAACTATTGAATACTGAAGAAAAATTGGTTTGCCTCACCTATGGTGGTGGTCTAACTGTGCAAGAGTTGTTTGTTCAGTTGGAGTGTGTGAATCAACTGCCTGCCCCCTCGCCCCCAGTCTATTTGTGCATATCATGATGTTCTGTCTGAAACGATGCAGGGGAGATGAAGATTACTAGTTCTTTTGCCATCTGTTTGGGTGGCTTTCTGTCTTAGGACAGGTTTTTAACAACTGGAGAATTAAGAAATCTTTTGGGAAAGACCAACTTTACTTGGTCTCTCAGACAACGGTATTAGTATCATATTCAGTCCTAACTAGAAGAGAAGATGCCACTTACATCCACCTGCATGGTGTACAACTCCAGGGACTGTCCAGAAAAGTCCTATACTCTTCACAGAAGGCCCAGTTTCCAGTAGAGCTGCAGCACAACAAGTCTGTGCAGTGGTTGAGATCAGGACAGTGAATGGGGTGGGGGCAGTGTGGTGGTCTGGTAATATGGCAGGAATCAATCCTGTAAGGGAGAGAGTTACTGGAGTAAATTCACTCTTGTTTAGAAAATACTGGGTTGTGATCTGAATGAATAATTTTGCAGGACAGCTCTGACATAATTGTTTACCCAGGCTCACTTTGGAGCCAAGAACTTTGTATGATTATGTGCTGATGTTTTACTGCTCAGGAACCCAAACTGACTGTTTTTTATGTGGTATGGTACTGTAGCATACACCATTTTTGGTGCTAACTCTCAGAGAGGCAAAATTCAGTTATATATAACTTCTCTGGGAGGTAGAGGTGACAGATCCTGCTGGGAAGCTCACATGCTGCCGGGAACCTGCTCTTGTCCTGGATCTCCTGAAGAATAGAGGAGACAATGATTTATTTTTCTTGCTTCTGTCTTCCACCCTGCCCCAAAATGGGGCACTTTCTGCTTTGGAGGCCAGACCGAAACAACATCTTGCTCATTCCCCCTCCCCCGCTCAATGCCTTATGGAGCCTGCCTGCAGCACCCAGCTAGTTCCTACATTACATGTTCCCCATTCCGAGGGTAGGGCTGGAGGTCCATGCTGAACCCTGTTCCAGTATTGCAGATAGGGCTCAGTGCTTCATTCAGCATGAGAGGAATTCTCCATTTTCCCCAAAAAGAAGCTAATTTAGCTGCTGGGATTTGGCCATTTTGATAGATAACTCTACTACACTCTCAAAAAATTAGCTGAGCTTCTAGTAGATAGTTACTATTGTCTAATTTACTAAGAACAGTTTACTAATCAACTGCTAGTATTTCAGTGCTCTTTGAAGTGTTGTTATCTGGTGTTACCCTTTCAGGATAACTTACTATTGTCAAGATAGAGCAGCTGAAATCAACTATCTCCAAAACTCACATGGATGTCTAACAAATCATGTACTTAGATAACCATATCTGAACCTTCAAGAATGTAATCAAAAAGTGTGAATCTGACAGTGAAATCAGGGGAGTTGGCAATCCTGAATCTGTACTTATATGTTACTTTTGTACCATCTCAGAACACTTTAAATACAATGACAATGATTGTAGTTTAGAGATCTTTTGGGGGAGAAAGAAGTTTGTTACTTCTGGAGAATTGGGTTCTCATCTACAAGTTCCAGGAGTATTTTAATTAACACAAGAGACATGGATTTGACGGACCACTTAGTGGATAAAGAATTGGCTGGGTGGTCATGCTCAAAGAATTGTGGTCAACGGTTCGATGTCTGGGTGGAGACCAGTGATGAGTGGTGTCCTTCAGGGGTCTGTATTGGGACCCGTATTATTTAACATCTGTGTCGGGGACTCGGACAATGGGATTGTGTGCACCCTCAGAAAGTTTTCAGATGACACCAAGCTGAGTGGTGTGGTTGATACTCTAGAGAGAAGGGATGACATCCGGAAGGACCTTGACAGGCTAGAGAGGTGGGCCCATGCAAACCTCATGAAGTTCAGCAAGGCCAAGTGCAAGGTCCTGCACCTGGGTCGGGGCAATCCCAAACATGGATACAGGCTGGGCATTGAGTGGATTGAGAGCAGCCCTGTGGAGAAGGACTTCGGGGTACTGGTGGATGAAAAACTCAATATGAGCTGGGAATGTGTGCTAGCAGCCCAGAAAGCCAACTGCATCCTGGGCTGCATCAAAAGTGTGGCCAGCAGATCAAGGGGTCCCTCTACTCTGCTCTGGTGAGCCCCCAGCTGGAGTACTGGGTTCAGCTCTGGGACACCCATTGTAGGACAGACATAGACCTGTGGGTCCAGAGGAGGGCCACAAAGGTGATCGGGGGCTGGAGCACCTCTTCTTTGAGGACAGGCTGAGAGAGTTGGGGTTGTTTAGCCTAGGGAAGAGAAGAAAAGGCTCTGGGGAGACCTTATAGCGGCCTTGCAGTGCTTAAAGGGGGCCTACAGGAAAGATGGGGAGGGACTCTGAATCAGGGAGTGTAGTGGTAGGACAAGGGATAATGGCTTTAAACTGAAAGAGGATAGATTTAGATTAGGTATTAAGAAGAAATTCTTTACTGTGAGGGGGGGGAGGCACTGGAACAGGTTGCCCAGCGAAGTTGTGGATGCCACCTCCCTGGAAGTGTTCAAGGCCAGGTTGGATGGGGCTTTGAGCAGCCTGGGCTAGTGGAAGGTGTCCCTGTCCATGGCAGGGGGGTTGGAACTAGGTGATCTGTAAGTTCCCTTCCAACCCAAATCATTCTGTGATTCTATGATATTTCTGCTCTTAATAAAGACAATGCTAATTTCAAAAGGAATATACAATTAATAACCTCTCTAGGGAATTTGATTTTTGTCTAAATATTTAATTATGGTGAGCAATATAATATGTTTTTTTTAATGGGGAAAGTATATTTGTGTTTTTCATATTGTTGATTACATGGGGGGGAAAAAACACCTTTGTTCTGTTTCTCTTTTGACATAAATATTGGACTCTTTACAGCTTTGTACAACTTGGAAAAACATTGTTGGGCTAGACTTTCTCTCACACTAAGGAAAGGATTGTGAGTGTCAGAAGACTTGCTTTTCCTTTGTCTAGATGTCCTGGGTTTTGTTTTGTGGAGTCAATAAACATAACATTTTTTTTTTAAATAATTTTTTTACATTAGTGTTTAAAACAACAATGATTCTCTGTGACTAGGAGCTACTATTTTTTTCTTTTTTCTTGTATTAAAACTATTTTAGGAGGGTTAATATTTCTGGACGCATAGAGATAAAATGTGTGGAACATTGCGCCTTATCTGTTATACACATAGCATGTACTACACAACAGGCTTTATATTTGTGGAAATCAGTATTAATATTATTTAAGTTTTATTGTGCAATTGAACTTTAAGCAAGGAGATGACCAGGAGTCCTATCAGACAATGTTTATTTTAAAGGGGGAGATGCGCTTTTTAACATGTGTTATATCTCTTTCTGTTGTCTAACTTTTCTTTTTCTTTTTATGTTTAGTTACTATAGCTCAAGGTGGTACAATCCAGATTTCTAATCCAGCCTCTGATGGTGTCCACGGACTACAGACGTTAACAATGACAAATTCAGGAGCTCCTCAGCCAGGTGCTACCATTGTGCAATATGCAGGACAATCACCTGATGGCACACAACAGTTTTTTGTTCCTGGAAGCCAAGTTGTTGTTCAAGGTACTTTTTATTAGTCTACTGCATTTTAGTTTTTTTATATAAAACAATTTTTTCTTAAAAGGCTTTTTATTTTGTGTTGACATTATTGCACTGTTAAATAAAATATTTATGCATAACAAGATGAAAATCTTAAGAGGAGACTCAGTTTCTCTGCTCAGTAAAGCAGCTACTTCTTTTGAATAAAAAAAAGTCATGAGGAGGAAATAACAGTGTAAAATCACTTTCTGCTTTGAATTCTCTTGTCCAGACTTTGAGAGATATGTTTAATTGCAGTGAAGGTGCTGTTACAGATTGAAATGAGATGCTGAGGTGCATCTCATTTAATATATGAAACTAATTTGGTTTTTTTCAGCAGTTAATCAGTCTTACAAGTTCTGAAGTTCTTTGCATATGTTTAGGGCAGAATTTCCTTGCAACTTACAACTGTTGTAGTTAATAGAAAGGAGATCCTTTACTGAAGCTAGAAGAACACTTTGTAGGTCCTATAAAATGCATACATGTGAATTGAACTGTGAATAGTGAATTCTTGAACCTTACTGTAGTTTATGCAGGATTTTTTTTCCTTCCACTGTTCCTAGCCTTTTGGAAATGCTGGGGGAGATTGAGAACCAAAGGTATCTTGGATTCTTATCAATACCAGGGAGAGTAGGGTTGGGATTTGGGTTATACTGAGGAAAACCTTTGAAAATGGGGAAGAGATTTCTGTATGGAGATACTAAATTAATGGCTGCCATGGAGGATATAGGGAATTTATTTTCCCTGATTTTTTTTTTTTTTTTCCAATCAGTACATAGGAGTAGGGAGGGAGGGCTGTATGAATGCTTTCTTAAGCCAAAACAGCTATCTGAAATAAACCATGAGAAGAGCTAGGAAGACTTTAAATATGTATTCATGGAGCGGATGAGAGTCATTGACTAAATGTAGGCACAGATATCTGAGATAGTTGAAGTCCAAGTTGAGGTGCTTTTTTTGCCCTAATATGGATATTTGAAATAAGTTCTGTCTTTATGTGGCTGTTTCTCTCCCTTTGTTTTAAATGGGTTGTAAATAAAGCTAATAGCTAATAACTTGTAGGTATCTGAACTTGTTGAGACAATGCTAAATAATGATATCAAACTGGAATTCTTCCATTGCCTCTGGTTAATTCTTTGCTGAAATACATTGTCTTCCTAAGACTTTTCAAAAGCATTTCAAGGAAGCTCTAAGACTATAATATGAAAAACCCGTAGCCAAAATGTTAGTTTTCATCATTCAGAGAGTACTGTTATAACGTCCCTAAATATTATTATGAATACATTCTTAGCAAAGCCTTAAGACCCAAATTTGGTTGTCCCCCAAACGAATTTCCTACTCTGGTAGTGCATGTTTTCTGAGTATGAGTCTTAATATGTTTTCTATACATGTGCATACACATCCCTTAAATTAGAGGACTTCTCTGTCTCTCCAGGTTGGCTGTAGTATTTTGTATCTACTATTTTGGTTCTTCAAAGCTTCAGGGGCAGGGGGAGAGGGGGGTGGAGCAGAGAGAGTAGCTCCTTAGTTGCGTCCTAAAACCTCCCCATTGTGTGAAGCAGCACAGAATTTAGGGATGGTATCTGGCAGCATTCCAGTCCTTGGGAATTTCATTTGACTGGCCTTCCTTTACAGACTCTTTGTTAGAGGGTTGTCCTCTGCCGGGGCTGTCCTCTAGCTTCCCTATTTGGTCTCAGTGATGGGCTTGATTTCTTGATGGTATAGCCCATTAAGTGTCTTGCCTGTGATGAAAACTTCCAAAACTGATTCAGAGACAGCTACTAAATACCTGCTATATCGTCTTTCTGGAAGCTTCTAGATTTTAACTAAATTGATTTGTTCTCTGTCCATGCTCAGAAAAGTTTACTTCCTGGAATTCTCTGTTCCTTTGGCCCAGACAAAGTCCAGTGCATTAGTGATGCCCATAGCATTTTTCTTCTGTGTCAACAGCTACATAACATATACAGGGAGAAATACAAAGGGAATAGTAAGTGAGCATGAACTCAGAGATGATGAGAAGATAGAAGTTTTCAACTTACTATACCCGCTATTAATACTGGAAAATCTTCAAAAAAAATCTTTAATAAAAAAAGAGTATATAGAAAAAGTGTGAAAGCACCTGAGGATGTTTATGGTAATACAGATCTCTCTATGATAATGATTGCGTATCGTCAACAAACCTGAGTTATTCAGGATGGAGTGAGACAATGGAATTAGTTGGATATACAAGTCTCTAATATGCCCTTACTACAGGTAATCTTGCCTATGCTAGAAAGTCTGTAGGACTATAGTTTATGAACATTTGTCATTTATGTACACTTTGTAGTTGACTGTTCACCTAATATTGTGATAGCACAGATTATAATAGGAAAGCAACGTTCTGCTTAGTAATTTTTCCACTTATGTATATTTTTATAATGATTTTGGGTAGACAGCATATAAATTTTACTTGTAATAACCATGGAAGTGAAAGAAAAAAAACCCCAACCCCCCCCAAAACAACAAAACAAACAAACAAAAAAACCCAACCAAAAACAAACAAACAAACAAAACCAAACCAAGTATCTGTCCTAGGGCAGAAAAGATCAGTTTCAGAATCTTTCAGATAGCATATGTATATTGTATTATACATATATAATATATTATGTTTTTTCTAAAGTATTTGTTGATGAATCTCATGTAATAATGGATGGCATCACATAAACCCTGTGCTTGATATTTTTTGATAATGTGATGGGGAAAAAGGATTAATATAAAAGCTCCAAAGGTGTTGATCCAATTGAGTCATGTTTCATTTGCTACAAGTTTACATTCATAGGCAAAATAAGAAGCAGTTCTGATGTCCTGACAGTTTCCTAATACAGGTTAAGGGTTTTTTTGCTAGTTGAATCGAAAAAAAGTGTTTAATTATTAGTAAAAGTGAGTGTAGAAAAGTTGTATCAAAAATAATTCTCTTGGGATCTATGTACGTTTTTATAACATGGTCAGTGATATGAACAGTGATACTGAATCTCTTGTGTGCTTCAGTTCTGATCTTCTGTTCATATGATCTTGAAGTGGTTCTGTAATCACAGGGCACTCCTTTTTTGCATTGATGCTTCCATTATTGCTGTCCTCGGCATAGTTTCACTGTTGATGAATTACCAGTCTGAATTCGTTTATTACAGACAAAGGCCTTAGAAGTTTGCTATGCCCTAAATACAGACCAGTGCCTGGACTGTTGGTCTGAAACTAATTTCGTTTAAATTGATGTAAATAAGGAGTAACTCTGTTAGAGCTGAGATTTTTTTTTATTATTTTTTAAAACTAAGTCAACCAGATCTCTTGGACTTACTTTGAAAAAAGAGGGAACAGGGTAGAGGTAGCCCTTACCTAGAGTTACTGTTCTGCCTGTTACAGCATCTGAAATCACTAGCTTTGTGTTGACTTACTTTATTGGAGCTTTCTTCAATCTTTTCTGAAGCTTTTAACTGAAATTAAATGAGTGGGTTGTGCGTTCCCCCCCCAAAGCAAGGAGCTTTAGCCTTTACCTATTTGTTACAGCTTATTAAGCTTTCCTGCCTTGCATGTCTGTCCAACAGAGTTCTCTGCCTTTTAGTGGAACTGCTCCAATCAAAACAATTACACATCCTTTTAAAACTTCCCTATTTTCTATCCAATCATGATTTTATCATTCACATTCGTTCATGAATTCTAGAGCCATATTTTAATTTCTGTCAGTCAGTGCTGAGATTTTTCAGGTTTTGTTTTACAGCCAGCTTTGTGGTGAGTGCTTTCTGTAGCTTTATGAATAATTCAGGGAAAAAGAACAAAGCTAGGCTTATAGAAATATGGAAGAGCAAGGGGGGGGGAAAAGGTTTACTGGAAACAGAGTTTCCAGCTGCAGTTTCAGCAAGCTGTTCCAGTGACAGAGCATATTAATGACAGTGGTAAGCAAGTGAGGTCACTGTGATGTCAGTGCTCTTGCTTGTAATCTGCACATGCTTGCTCGTTTGGAACAGTTCATGCTGAGCTCTGGTAGAGGAACTGGAGAATCGTGTGTGCAGAAGCTGATCATGGCTGTAACAGGAGATGAAACAGGTAAAAATTTTGTTAGTCTCTTACATGATATTTTTGGATGTCTCAGCAGTGCTTAGTTGGTATTTGTGACATTTTCTTTTGAACCTGTTGCTGTAACTCTTTCATCTTTGAAAACTGGTACACATAGCTTCTGGTTATATCTAGTCAGTGTAGGATTTCAATTTTAACAGCTTCATTTGGGGGAAAAAATCACTGTTAGTGCATGAGTTTTTGCACAGATTGATTCAGATAACTAATCTTTACTATCTGATGCAGGATTTTTCTGAAAAATCCACCACTCTTCTTTTAAATTCTTCTTTATTGTGGAGATAGTCATATATGTAACTATGTTTATAGTTGTTTTTTATTTTGTAAAAATGGCACTGCTTTTTTGTTTAGCAATAAACACTTCAAATTTGATAGCTAAAATAGACTTAAGCATAGCTATTAGAGAAAGGTGTGCATTGTTTCAGTAGTGTAAATAAACCCTATGCTTTCATTATTAAAGAAAATACTGAATGCAAACAAATTTGGGAGAGCAATAATTTTAAGTATTGTAACGCCTGCTTGTTTTCTCCTCCACTGTTAAAATGGTCTGTTCCTCAGCTAATTGAGTTCAAAAGGCTGACGTCATTAGATTTCCTGGAATCGTGTTGCAGTAGGGAACTGGAAAAGTTAAACTCCAAACAAGATACACATTGACGTCAGCTCCAAGTCATGCTGCGATTTAGTCAGTTCCTTTCTGCTTCGTCAATTGCCTCCAGCAGATCTGTAATGTTAACCAGTTCACAGCCGGTACCTACCTGCTGCTGCTTATTGCTGGTACATATTGTTTCATTAATCCAAAGATAAGTATCTTCTCCAAGTTGACGTTTTGGTTTTTTTTTTATGCTCAAAGGGGTAATGATTCATGCCTTGTTTAGCCAGTT